TTGGAGCAAAAATCCAGATTTTATGGATTAAGCAAGGGGATAAAAACACAAAATTTTTTCACAAAATAGCAAATTCAAATAGGAGATATAATTGGATTGATAAGCTAGAAATAGATGGGGACTTCACAGATGACAAAAATTTGATTAGAAACCACATACTTGAGTTCTATAAAGATCTTTTTTCAGAAAAAGAGAGCTGGAGACCTTCATGGAATTGTTCAGAACTTGCTAGCATCAGTGACCAAGAGAAAGAGTGGTTGGAGAGACCTTTTGATGAAATAGAGGTAACAAGAGTAGTTAAAATGGTAGAAGGGGATAAGGCTCCTGGTCCAGATGGCTTTAATATGTGTTTCTTCAAAAGATGCTGGCATATTGTGAAAGAAGATGTTCTGAAGACATTTGAGGTGTTTCACAGAGAAGGAGAATTTGTCGGAAGTTTTAACTCAACCTTCATTGCTTTGATGCCAAAGAAGAAAGGGGCTGCCAACATCAAGGAATTCAGACCTATTAGTTTGCTTGGGAGTATATACAAGTTGATAGCTAAAGTCCTTACTGAGAGAATGAAGTTGGTGATTGACAAGTTGGTCTCTGAGAATCAGAATGCCTTTTTGAAAGGTAGACAAATTGCGGATGCATCACTGTTGGCAAATGAATGTATAAACTACTACTGGAAAAGAAAATTGCCTGGTGTGGTGTTCAAATTGGACTTAGAAAAGGCCTATGATCATGTCAATTGGCCTTGTCTGCTGAAGTTGCTAGAAAAGATGAATTTTGGGGGTAAGTGGATTCAATGGATAAACTTTTGTGTCTCCACTACAAAGTTCTCAATACTAATCAATGGTAGTCCAGTAGGTTATTTTAGTTCTCGAAGAGGTTTAAGGCAAGGAGACCCTCTGTCTCCCTACTTGTTTCTTCTAGTAATGGAGGTGTTGAGTCAGATGATTAAAACTGCTGTGAGAAGTGGATGGATAAAAGGCTTTAAAATGGAGGGTCATTCAGGAAATAGTATAGAAATTTCTCATAGTCTTTATGCTGATGATACCTTGTTGATGTGTGAGGCTGATAGAAATCAAGTGATGCACTTGAGGGTGGTTCTGTTGGCATTTGAAGCTGTGACGGGATTAAAAATAAACCTGGCCAAGAGTTCAATGTTTTCTTTGAATGCTGACAGTGATATTAATATGTTAGCTGATATCATGGGTTGCAAGGTTGAAAAGTTTCCTACTACCTATTTGGGGTTGCCTTTAGGTGCAAAATTCAAGGACAAATCAGTGTGGAATGGTGTAATTGACAAGTGTGAAAAAAAGTTGGCTCCTTGGAAGCAGCAATACTTATCACTTGGGGCAGATTGACATTAGTAAACAGTATTCTTGATGGAATACCAACCTATCTAATGTCTCTGATTCCTATACCAGCTAGTGTGGAGAAGAAAATTGATAAAATTAGGAAGAAATTTTTGTGGTAAGGTGATACAGAAAGGAGAAAATATCATTTAGTAAAGTGGAGCATTGTGACAAAACATAAGAAAGAAGGGGGTCTGGGAGTTAGAAATCTTAGAGCTCACAATCAAAGCTTGCTATGCAAATGGCTATGGAGGTTAAACGATGGGAAAAAAGCTCCCTGGAAAGCAGTGGTGGAGGTGATATATGGAAAAGAGGGCTTCTTTGCACCTAAAACAGTAAAAACTCCATATGGGGTAGCTGTTTGGAGACAGATTTGTAACCTATGGGAGAAATTGAACATGTATGTTGGCTTGAGGGTGGGCAATGGGAAAAAAATCAAGACTTTGGGAAGATAATTGGGATGGTTCTGGTCTACTGAAAATTCAATTTCCGAACCTGTACAGATTGGCCAATAATCCAAAAATCCTCTTAGCTGATATATTTACTGATACAGGTTGGGACTTCCAGTTCAGAAGGAATCTCTTCGACAGAGAAATGCATGAGGTTGATATATTTATTCAGAAGATGCAATCAGTGGTGTTATCGCCAGAAAAAGAAGACAGCCTACTCTGGAAAGCTAGTAAAAAAGGTTTTTTTACTGTTAGTTCACTCTACAAAATACTAAATGCTACCCAGCCGGTGCAAGTACAAAAGTGGCGTTGGAAGATGGTTTGGAAGACTACAGTCCCAACAAAAGTAGCATGTTTTGGTTGGCTAGCAGCACATGAAGCATGTCTGACTCAAGAAAATTTGATGAGAAGGGGTTGGATAATGTGCAGCAGGTGTTACTTGTGTGAGAAAGCTTGCGAATCCGTGGACCATCTTTTTTTGCATTGTGAATTTACTTGGCAGGTGTGGTCCATGTTCACGGCTAACTTTGGCATCCTTTGGGCAAGTCCTAAGAAATTCAGGAATATATTAGAGTGTTGGGAACCTGCATGTCCAGAAGCATCCTTAAAGAAGTTTTGGAGAGATATTCCTCTTAGCATAGCTTGGACGATATGGAAAGAAAGAAATAATAGGTGTTTTGAAGGCAAGAAGGAGCAACTGCAATATGTGAAATACAGTTGTTTACATTATTTGTACTATTGGAAAGATGGAAATGTTGTTATGAATTTTCATGATATGCTGGACATGCTAGACCGCTTAGGATTTTAATGTTTTTAAGCCAGCAGTATCCTTGTATTTTTACAGTATCAGCTTGATACTGTTTTTAATAAAATCTTCACCTTATAAAAAAAAAAAAAATAACTCAAATGTAAGGAGTTTAAAAAATTTGCACCACATCACCTCCTTGTTTTAGGATATGTATAGAAGAGATCTTGGTCTCTCAAAATTACATTTTAGTCTCCCCAAGATACTAACTTTCTTATTTGGCCCTTGATAGTTCCTTGCTCCATTTCGCTTAAGGTGGAGCGAATTCTTCCACCAACCAATTAAGCATCCTAGTATTATTAAAGTGTCTATTGAATTTTCTAACCAATATGCAATTTAAAATTATTTATTTAACAAAAGATTTTTCAAATAACATGAACGTTTACGACAAAAAGTGGTCAATTTAAATGCATATAACGTTATATGCAAATTGGGTGTTGTAATACTTCAAGATGCTTTTCCTTGTTGGTAGATGAAACCCCACAAGCCAGTAGCAAATTCATAGTGCAAAAGTAGGTGATCTGTGTCTTCTCCCCTTATTACATAGGCAACCGTAGTTTACTACTACAGGTCCCTTCTTAAGTTACTTGTTACTGGAATAGCATCCCAGCACGCACACCATGTAAAAGACGATCCATTTTTTTATGCTTTTGTTTTCCAAATGAATCTCCACATACTGTTTGTGCTGTCCCTATTCACCGAACAATTTTTTGGTATATACTTGCCACTTTTTATATAAAACTTGATTTTTTTGTTGAAAAAATAAGATTTGTTTGAGAATCATTTCGGCCTAGTCCCATCCATGCCATCTTATCCTCACTGTTTTCAATTTCAGTACTATAAATTCTGGTGAGGAGCTTGCTTTTTCAAAAAAAAAAAAAAAAATTCTGGTGAGGAGCTTGTCCATCCCAACCCATTCCTAGTCCTGGATAGTTTTTTAGAAGACTTTGTCTCAAACAAGTCCAGTCGAGCTGAATCATTACTGACCATGTCGTTTCAATAACGCTCTTCTCAAACCAATATGATACAAAAAAAAATCTACTATAAATTATCTATATTTTCTATTGGCATATAAATCTTTGATAGAATTAGAAGATGTTTGGAAAAAATAGGACCTAAAGTAAAATGTACTAACATGAATAAACATTTTATCAGCTAATTGGTATCACCTATTTAGTTTTTTTCTTGAGCTCTATTTTCTCCTTTTATCATCTTCACTCACCATAGTTACATATCTATGGACTAATGCATCTGAAGGTCGACGCAGGACATGACCGAACCATCTCAAGTAACCTATTGTCATTTTATTTTCGATATGTACTACTTTCACCTTCTGCCGGATATGATCATTTTTTATCTTGTGTAATCTTGTACGTCCACATATCCATTTTAATGTTCGCATCTTTGCGACACTCATCTTGTGGATATGTGGCGGCCCAATCTTCACTACCATGTAATTCTATTGAAGACTATATCCCATGATATTTCGCTGCAGCCTTCTAACCCTATTTGGCACTGTCACTTCTTTGTTTCTTGTTATGGGGTACAGCCAGGAAGCATCTCTCTCAATGTTAATTCCTAACACCAAATGTCGAGCCAAAAACAGATTTGGTTCCCATTCCCAACTAGAAATCCAAAATACTCAGAAGTCTTTGTACCCCTTCTTTATTACTTTCCACACACAAAGCCCATATGTATTTCTTACCTTCTTAGTGAGCCAACCCTATTCCATTCTTCAGTACCTTAATGCAATCACCTCTCTCCAGAAAGCCCTTCCTTCATCCTTTTATTTTATCTTATAACCGAGAAAGCCACTTCCTTTATTCTTAAACATCCACTATTACTTCCCAAGGTGAGATTTGTTCAACATAGAAATGTTGCGCATACTCAGACCTCCTTCCTCTAAAGGAATCACCACCTTCTTTCATTCAGCAAGATGATATTTCCTTTCCCGCTTTTATAAATTTCAATATATTTCCTTTCCCGATATCCCATCCTATAGGAATCTCTATTCTAAGTTCTCTAATCTCCTGACTGCCGGATAGAACTGGGAACAAGGATATGTAGCAGGTACAAATGCTGGACAGAATAGACTCGATAAGGATAATTTTGCCCCCTTTTAAGATATGCTGCATAATATGTAGCATACAATACTGACGTTTCTGCCTTTCTTACTGTTAGATAGTTATATGTAAATAATCCTTGTCCCACATGTAGTAGGAATAAAATATCTCCAAGTCCCATATGTAGGAGTAGAATATGTATTATATACAGGGCTCATTGTATAATTGTTATTCAATAATAGATTTTTCTCAAATGCATTCTCACATGGTATCAGAGCTTCAGTGAAAAAATTAGCGTTGTGCGTCATTCTAGCGACATCCAGGAAGAAAGATCTCGTCGCCATGCAATTTTTCGGCTACTTCGTCTTGTTCCCAGGGTTCAGCATTGCTTTAGGGGTACTGTGCATATACCAGTACCACAATCAGATCCGAAACCTTTGTGCGACCGAATCCCAAAAATCACAGTCCCATCGGAATAGAAAAGTCGGTCACCGTGCGTCTTTCCGGTTGACGACTCAAGATTAAGTTGCGTTATCTCCTCATTGGTAAGTGTTGTGCGAAAACCAACACTGCCATCTTGTTTGGAAAAGTCAAGCGACAACACCCCAATCAATCGCTCCGGTAGAAAATCCCTCACGCGCCGCCAGAACTAGGTTCCGACGAGCGCGTCTGACACACGCGTCGGCGCGTAGAGCACTTTCCAGCCAAAATTTTCAAAAATATCTTTAGGATAGTTGTTTCGTGGGGTGGTTCCGAGTCCACCAGTACAATTTCCTACAGATTCCGAGAACTTTGGAATTTGCCAGCGAGCTACAATAACTTTTTCAGCGCATGGTAGTCATTCTGGCCACTATTTGACAAAACTTCTTCAGGACAACTTACTCGTCCAGTGATTTCGAGCCCACCCATATAAATTACATCAAATTCTAATAAATTTTATTTTTCTGGCGTGAACAGTGCACTTCCCGGCGTGAACTGTTATTTCTAGAAAAGTTTCTGTTTTCTGCTGGCGTTTCTAAAACTTATTTTGAAGTGTGGAATTCGGCTTAGTCTCTCTATTTTCAAATTTCTCCGGCGATTTTTCGGCCAACTTCTCAGCAGCCACCTGGTTTTGTTGCTCAGGGGGAGTCTAGTGGCCTTGTATGTTGCTCGCGCCGGTCACTTTATATAACAAGCTCTGTACGTATGATTTGTATGCACCGGCTTGAGGGAAAGTGTTAGATAGTTATGTGTAAATAATCCTAGTCCCATATATAGTAGGAATAGAATATGTCCTAGTCCCATATGTAGTAGGAGTAGATTATGTATTATATATAGGACTCATTGTATCATTGTTATTCAATAATAGATTTTTCTCCTGTGCATTCTCACACTTACTACCATTTTTGTATTTCATCTTTTCACTTGGATTACTTTTCTGTGGCAGCACAGCGTTTCTTATAGGGCCTAAACGACAAGTGACAATGATGCTTGACCCAGTTCGCTTATATGCAACTGCTATTTATCTAGCAAGCATTATCATTGCTCTGTTTTCTGCTCTATATGTGAGTTACTGTATAAGTCATGTTTTTAGTTTCTTTTCATCTTGGCTTTCTGCAGACTTTCCATTCTCTGTCTCATCTACATTTTCTTGCTTCAGGTGCGGAACAAGCTACTTACACTCTTGGCAATCGTATTGGAGTTTGGTGCACTTATTTGGTATGTCGGACTGTAGTCACACACTGGTTCAGTCTTATAAACACGGATTGGGGGATGGTGACATAAGAAGATAAGAAACTTTGGTTGGGATAGGTGAAATTAAGTACAAGTGGCAAAACTTTCTCCTTTTGGATTCTGGTATCAAATATAAATTCTGAAATAGCAGAGAACTTGTCCAGTAGAGCACTTGAGACAAATATTTCCTGACAAGTTTTCTTCCCGTTAAACAAGTCCGAAATTGGATAAACTCTTTTCGCTTTAATAGTTTAGAGAACTTGGATAAACTAGAATGTCAGAAGATATATCTTGAATCAAGATCTTTTGCCTCAACTTTTTCCCAGTTTGCCGAGGGAGCAACCCCATTTTTCACCTTGAATTGGTCAAAAAAACATAGGTTTTTTCTTTTTATTTTGGTCATCCAAATTATCTATAAAGAAACTAGATAGAATAACTTCGACCTTGTCAACTGCTAATTAGATGTAACTTTGTTGATGAACAAGTGATGCCCTTGTGTGTAGCACACACTGGTAGTAATCTCTTTATCAGCTCTTGCATTTGTCTCAAACGTAGGGCAATAGGACCACTAGCTTATAAATAGGAAGCTTCTCCTTTTTTGCTATCTTGCTCATGATCCGCGTCTACTTGACGCTGTTATCCTTTTAAGCTAGTTGCCAAATTCTAAATATTTTCTGTTTAGGCTAGGAAGCTGATGCTCTTTTGTTGCATTACAGGTATAGCTTGAGCTATGTTCCTTTTGCAAGGTCCATGGTCTCAAAAGTGATGATGGCTTGCTTTGACACAGAATTCTAGGGTTCAATAGCTTGAGGAAAGGATTATAATTGCAAATATGTACAGTAGTATGCATTTAGCAAGTTCGCACCTCCAGGTGTTCTAATCCATAGAATGGGTTAGGTGAGTGCACCTCGGTCAAATGGAGATACTTGGGAGTGAATGAACTGTTCGTTGATGAACTAACTTCTGATCCTTTCTAACCCCTAAGTTTTACATCCTTAAGCCGAGGGTTTATCGGAAACAGCCTCTCTATCTCTATGAGGTAGGGGTAAGGTCTGTGTACACACTACCCTTCCCAGACCCCATTTATGGAATCAAACTGGGTTTGTTGTTGTTGTTGTAAGTAAATGGAGATTATTGAGTTCATGCCAATCTATTCTCAAAAAAAAGAAAAAAAGGGTTAAACGACAACAAAATTTTCTGCCGTTCTGGCTTGCTGATTTTTTTTTTTTTGTTAAGCTAATATAGCTAGCTTAGTGATCTTTTTTTATTAATAATGACGAAAATAAAGTAATGTCTTACAATGTGAAAGAAGTAAGAACTTGCCAGAATGATAAAAATTTGTATCAACTTAAAGGCAAGAAGTCTTAAGTTGATATTGGAAAATGATACAAAGTGAGACATTGATCCTTCAACTTCTGGCCATCTAGATGCATCTTTGCAACCTCCAAAGCTTTCTCACCTCTAAACCAAGAGCCTGTGTAATGCATATCCTTATGTAGATCTTTGCATTTCTTCCCCCTTTACACTTGGACATAGCTAGAAGTAGCACACAACTGTAGAGTTTTGTGGTCACAATTGCAAAATCTGGGCAGTTCCTTGGCATCAACACATCGATGAAGTTATAGTACATTGTAGGGTACATATGAATAACACAAAATTATCTCCAAGTCACCCTAAGTTGCATAGTTTCCCAAAGCAAAATCTGTCTTGTATAGTAACACACTTGCATTGTCTTGCTTTTTAGAGACCAGTTCCTTAGCTTCAAGACTGAGTATAATACTTCCAACGTGCAATGGATTTCACTGAATCGTATAGAGCTTACGATATCCAGCCTCCTTATTGAGCATTTCCAGTATGGCTCTATGTGGAGTGATTTAGCATATATCCAGTGTGCCTGCCATGTTTGTACCTTCTCCTTCGTGCAAAGAGCAATGTAAGAGGGCTGGTCTATGCCTTGGTTAGTCCTAACGGGAACGAGCATCGTAGATACTAATACCACCCTTTTAGGTTTGGCCAAAGCATATGATCCAGACCCTAGGATTTGAGTACCTGCAAAAAGGCAAACATTGTTGGTAAAGATAACTTCCTACTCTTCTCCCTAAGGATTTGTGTAGGAAGATCAGTATGATCCACCACCATCTCCAGTTACACCCCCAGTCCTACCAACATCACCTCCATTATCCAGGCTACTACAGCGCACCATAGTAGCTCCATCTTGACCTGTGCTTTCATCATCACATAGAGTTTGGCTTGCTGATTAGATTTGTGTTTTGAATTTTTTTTTTTTTGGTGGAAGCTGCACTCCATTTATATATAGTTAATGGTTAGATGACCTAAAATTATGTCTGTGACCTTCCTTTCCTATCACACACCGTGAATTGGAAACATTAAGTAGTTTCTATTTGTTTAAGGCTGAAAGAGCGTTTGATTTAACTGTGAATAAGAAAAGATGTTCAGGAAAGAAAATTGAAACGGAAGCTTAAGAAAAGTTATTTTCCTTATTATCTTCTCAATGGTTAGGGTAGGAAGTGGGGAAGAAAAAAGCTACGTATTCAACATTTTTCTTCTCATTTGAGGAAGAAAAGTACTAGGTATTATACACTTTTCCTTCTATTACAGAGAACTAAAGAAAATAAAATGTTTCCAGTTTAGACCTTTTTTTTTTTTTTTTGTCTATTTTATTCTTGTGTTTTTCGGAAATCCGGCATACACGTATTGTACCCTCGCTTTGGACAAATAAGTTTCAAATTATTCGTGTTAGAACAGAGCGAATATCAAAGATTTGAAGAAGTTGATAATTATAGGTTTATTTATCACTTTCTTTCCAATTATGTTATTGTATAATCCCTATGTCCCATCCGTTTCATGTGCCTCTACTTTTTCAGACATTGTTATTAAATTTTGAGTTGAAATTAATGTTATTGACACAATTCTTGAAGTGACATATAAGAAAGTGATTACTCCCTCCGATCCGCAATAAGTGACTAATTTACTTTGGACACACCCATTAAGGAAATACTAAATTCTAGACAAAAATAGTTAGTGTGACTAACTACCCTTAATTAAATATTGCAACATAGTTATAGTAGCACTTACTTCTCTTCTTAAATATGAGGTGTAAATGACTTTTTAGGGATACGTACACAAGGGTAATTTTGAAAAAACAAATTGAATTTTTTCTTGATTATATAAATGGACACTTATTTTGGACCAAAATAAAATAGCAAATTGGTCACTTATTGTGGACCGGAGGGAGTAGAAATAGCACGGGTTAGCCAGTTTTTGGACTCGCCATTCAAAAATAGCTAGCGTTTGCAAAGTCATTGAAAAATAGCCACTGTTTTGCTGCAACAGGGACCGGTCCAGCATAATATACTAGAGATAGTTGCACCTGTGTATGAACTTCCAGCATATTATGCTGGAATTTTCGCGAATGCTGGAATTCCAACACGCGGAAAGTTCCAGCATAATATACTGGAGATTGGAGCACATGTGTATGAACTTCCAGCATATTATGCTGGAATTTCAACACGCAGAAAGTTCCAGCATAATATACTGGAGATTGGAGCACATGTGTATGAACTTCCAGCATATTATGCTGGACCGGTATATTATACTGGAACTCCAGTATAGTATGTTGGAGTTCCAGTATACTTATGCTGGAACTCCAGTATATTATGCTAGAGTATTTTTCGGATTTTGAACAATATTTTCGTTCAGATTTATCTTTACATGAAAAGTGGCTAATTTCGATTACTTTTGAAACTGCGGCTATTTTTGAATGACCGCTTGTAAATCTGGCTATTTTTGACTTTCTCTCCCGGAGGGAGTACTAGTCTTACAGCCTATTTGGTCAAGCTTTTTTTTGGTCAAAAGTATGTTTTTCCAAAGTTAAGGTGTTTGATCAAGCTATTAGAAGGAAAAGAGCTGCCTTTGAGTAGAAGCCGATATAATTTTTGAGAAGCAGAAAAAGTAGTTTTTTCTCAAAAGCATCTTTTTGAAAAATACTTTCGAGTAAAATATACCTAAAGGCATTTTTAAAAACTTGGTCAAACGCTAATTGTTGCTCAAAAGTATTTTTCAAATTTATTAGTCAAGCACAAACTACTTTTTTTTTTTTATTAAAAGTATTTTTAAGAAAAACGCTTTTCAAAATAAGTTTTTAGAAGCTTTGCCAAACATACTATTATACTGACGGTCTATCCAGGATAGTGATTATACTACAAAATACTAATATTTTCATTCTGAACAATTGAAAACTACATTTATTCTATCCAAACCAATTGAAAATTTCAAGATACTAATATTATAAATTATTAATGATGATAAAACTGATAAATATTTTTATTTTAAGTCAAATTGTATCGTATAATAAATCAGGACACAGGGAGCATATTGTTACCATTTTTATAAGATTACTGGTTAATATTTATCAAGAGATTTAATTGTAATTATCTAATCTTAGTAAATAAAGTTGGTGGTTTCATTGGAGTTTTAGGAGATATAATCTCCATATAAAAATTGGCAATAGTATATTGATAATAGGTGAATTTGACTATAATCACACCATTAAATAATCACCTTCTTGTGTAGTTTTAATGCTAAAAGTGATAACAAAATGCTCTTATTAGTGCTTTTCATGATTTGTAGGTGATATAGGTATAAGGAAGGCTAAGGAGCAGTTTTGGAGTTAAAAGTGATGAAAAAGAGGCCAACTGTGAAATTTCCCAAGTGAACCATGCAAAACAGGCCGAAGATTCGGAGTACTGGATCCACCGCGGTTCCACCGCGACCGCGGCAGAACCGCGGTGGGAAGCAGCTTCAGAAGATCAGAGATTCCGCGAGGGTGTTTGGCCGCGGTTCTACCGCGACCGCGGCAGAACCGCGGTAGGCGCAGAAACTTCAGGGACCAAAGTGTCAATTACGGGATTTTTAGACCTAAACCCTATTTTAAAACATTAGACTTTTCCCAAGAGAGGCATGTATTGATTTTTTAGGTTTCTTAGCAAGGAAAAACAATTGTGAGAAAGTACTCTAAACATCTTTCTTCTTTTCTTTCGATTTTATGATGAATTCAAGCTTAGTTTATTCTCCCATATCTATGAGTAGCTAAATTCCTTGGCTAAGGCGTTGATGGAACCTATTGGGTGATGAACTTCTTGTTTATGTGAATACAAATTGCTAGTTTAATCTCTATTTGTTCAACTTCGTGTTTGTTGTAGTTAATTGACAGGATCCTCAATTAGCTGTGCCTATTTAGTGTGCATAACTTGGAAAAGAGTGCATATTTAGGGTATTGTTGAACAACACCACTCCTAGATTATTAGAGGAATCTATAATTGCGGGTTTAAAGGCGGGATTAGGGATAACGAAGCCTTGGGTGTAATCTAAAGTGAATCGTGCTAAATAAAGTAAGCTAGTGTATCTCGGGAGAGTGCAATAGTAAATTACTGTGATTACTCGGGAGAGATTTGCGGTAAGATTAGCATTCATGATTGATAGAGAGGTGTTGGTAAATTTGTATGAGCATAAACAGAAGGGATTCCATCAATAGGGGAAATCATTGCCTTAGCTTTTCCTCACAATTGTTAACAACCTTATTAATTTAGTTTACAGCCATTTAGTCACTTGCAAGCTAGTTGTTAAAGAACAGTCAACTGAGATTTGAATATTTGGGAAGCTGGTTCTGAAGAATTAGTGGGTCTGAAGATAGTGGTTGATAGGTTAACTCTCTGCGGACGTTGCAAATATAACCCGAGTATTACGCCCAGGGTCGAATCCACAGAGAGTTAACCTATCAACCACTATCTTCAGACCCACTAATTCTTCAGAA